ACACCCTGAATCCGTACCCTGTTGTACGCCATATCCTTTTATGAAAAAAACAAACAAACAAACAAGGTTTTGTTTCCTTTTGTTTTATACCCTGAGTTGGAAACCCGTTTTCCTGTGTCTCGGATGTTTAGGAAAGAGAGCTCCCCCAACTCCGCTGCTTTTTTTGTACAGGACAGGCAGGCAGATGAAAAAGAACAGAGGCAGAATGAAACATTTTGCAGACTGGAGATCCTGGGAGCATTATTCCTTGGCTAGTATTTCATTTACCAAAATGAAACGGAGGGAAACACACACACACACACACACACACACACACACACATATTTCTGTTCACTGAGTGTTAGTACCCTCATATCACATAAACAACGTTCACTTTTGTGTCACGACAGGCTGTGGGGGTGGGGGGGAGGGTAAAAAAAGGCATTGCTAAGAGCCTTTTCCCTGTCTAGCATACATTATTAAATTAACTTTGTTTTTTGTTTTTTTTGTTTGTTTGTTTGTTCTTGTTTTTTCGAGACAGGGTTTCTCTGTATAGCCCTGGCTGTCCTGGAACTCACTCTGTAGACCAGGCTGGCCTCGAACTCAGAAATCCGCCTGCCTCCTGCCTCCCAAGTGCTGGGATTAAAGGCTTGCACCACCACTGCCTGGCTTAAATGAACTTTAAACTTGAATCCTAATCTTCTTTATCTTTTATTCACCATTATTGATATGAGAAAATGTTCAGATGGAGAGGAATGTGACTATTAACAAGCTGTTGATGAATTTGAAGTATTTATACTGAAATTACTTGTATTTTTTAAACGTGTATCACTTGCCTACACCTCAAGTTCTGTCTACAAGTTGCCCTTGTGAAAGAGCCAAATTGAGTCATTCGTAAAATGTGACTGACAGTTTTTTTTAATGCTCATCCTTCTTAAACTACGTTGACTGAAGGCTTGTAATTTTTATATATGAAGGAGGCTTGTTATACTCTGTAGTCAATAATTATAGGGGAGATGAGACAGCTCTTCATGTATCCCATTTAAAAGACTCTTAGTAGAACCGATGCCTGATATTTATAGTCTCTCACAATTACTTATGGAGTTATTTATTCCCCATTTTCTTTCACTGAGGATTTCAAGTTGCTATATAATGCTTTGTAGCTTATAATTTGCCTTCACATACGTCATCTTTAATCTTTATGAGGATCTGGGGAAACAGGTATTATTAGTGCTATTTGCAAATGAGAAGCTGAGCCTCAGAGAGATGAAATAAACTAACTCATGGACTTACAGTTAGGAAGGAGCAGGACCCAGGGTACTGATTGATGGCCTCTCATTGCATGCCCAAGAAGAATACAGTATGTCCTTGGGACATCAAGCAAGCATTCAGGAAGGACCCAGAGTCAACAATGATAACAAATTTTCTGTTTCACATGAAAGCCAGTCTAGGATACTTTAGTTTCTTTGGGAGAACTTATATGAATATAAAGAAAAAAAAATAAAGAACAGAAATTGAAATAATTTCAGTGAGATCTAAGCATTTTCTAATTCTATAGGAAAACCACATAGTTCTATTCCCAGCATCCATGGGAAGGTGGGGCAGTTCACAACTGCCTACGGTTGCAGTGGACTAATGTCCTCTTCTGGCCTCTACAGGTACTGCACTCAAGATGTGTGCACCCAACACACACACACACACACACACACACAAATTCAAAAACAATAATAAAATATTTTTTGAAGTATGGTGTGAGGATAAAAGGGGAGCCGAAAGGCCTAGTGAGGAGGGTTCTTAAAAGGGAGGAAGCAGAGTGGGAAGATGTACATTCCTGTCAGCTGGAGTAAGGATGACAAGCAGGGTCAACAAGGATGATAAACGGTTTATGTCCAAGTTTAAGTCTTCTCGTTTTCTTACTGATTTAAAAAAAAACCAGAAATGATATGTAGTATGTAAATGAAGTAAGTTTTATAGAGTTTTATTGTTCCTTGGACTTTTCTTTTTAACTGACCTATTTTAAATGATTAAGGATTCAAACTATCCAAACTAGAAACAGCCTTTAGAGATTAGAGGTCAAACTACATGTTTAAGATTTTCTCACTCCCAAGACTTTTGTTCACTATATATAATTCATGGAAATGACTAATAATTTTTCATTAAAATCATGATTGGCTGGGCATGGTGGCATAAACCTTTCATTGTAGCTTGATGAGTCGTAGAGGATTGCCAATGAGTGAGGTCAGCTGGGTCTACATAGGGAGTGCCTGTGCAGCCAGTGCTACGGAATCAGACCCCAATTTAAAACAAACCAAAATGATCACTCAAAATGTATGTAATAAAAATTAGAATCAATCCTATTTAGTATTTTTATGATTGGCACTGTTAAACATCATTAGTACGGTATGTAAAACAATCTTAGAATTGTTACCACAGGGTTACAGCTTAAATGCTGTAGGATGTTTGGCCATGGTATGAACCCAGAGATTGTATTATTTATTGAAATAACCTGTTTCTAGTTGTGGTATGGCTCGGCTCTAGCACACAGCTTTAATCCCAGCACTTGAGAGATGCGTGGCTTTAATCCAAAACAATAAAGGTATAGTATGTAGAAAGAAGCCCCCATGTTTGTGATGTCTAATTGAGTGGAAAAAAAAGTGACTAATGAGATTTGACAGAGTAGGATATGTTCCAACTCTCACGAGAAGAGAAAGGAAAGGAAAGCTACTCAAGGGGCAGTGCAGAGAGAAGGAGGCAGGCAGTTTTACTGGGACAGTTTTACAGAAGACGGGTTGCAGAGAGAGAACAAGCTAGATGCCAGTGACTGAGCCAGGAGATTAGAACATGTTGCCCAAGTGAGTATGACGACAAGCAGAGCCATTCAGGAGAAGGGAAGAGAAGCCACATTGAATCTGTTAGTGTAGAGAGGGGTTTTGAGCCAGAACAGCTGAGTTGAACTCTACAGTGAGAGTTCAGAAAGAGATAGAAAGGGGTGAGTTTATTCAGTCTCAGAAGCTGAAAATATTCTAGACTGAGATAAGATTGTAAGGAGGCTAGAAGCCTCCAGGACTAGGCCTAGGAGACTGAGGCAGTAAGCCACCAAGACAACAGTTATTTCAAGCAAATAAAACTTACAGCTACAGCTACATCTTAACTTTTAAAAGCTAGCTACTTTATTTTGAGCCAAGATTGTTTCTTTACCTGTTTGTTTGTTTGTTTGTTTGCTTGTTTGTTTGTTTAAGATAGGGTGTCACCTCATAACCTTATCACCTGGACTGATACTTGAAACAAAATGGCCTTGAACTCAGTCTGCTTCTGCCTCCCAAGTGCTGGGATTAAAGGCATGGGCCACCACTCTGTGACTCTACATTTTTCAAATGTGTTTTATTTTTAAGCAAAATATGTCATAATTTTCCCCTTTGCTCCTAGCCTCTCCCATGCAGAGCTCTCCTTCACTGCATGGCCTCTCTTTCCTTAGTTCTTATTATTTAAATGACTACCTCTGTGCTTGGGATAGAGCTCAGTTAGTACAATGCTTCCTTAGCATCCATGGAACCATATCCCCAACACTGACTAAATCAGGCAGTGCATGACTATAATCCCAGTGTTTGCAAAAGGAGGAGAATGGATTCGAGTGAGAGGAGGGCATGGCCATAACAAGTTCAAGGCCAGCCTGGGGTACTCTCTCTACAAAAAAATTGTGAAAATATGCAATGACAAAATTTACGTGTAACTGGAGATACTTCTTTTTAAAGCAATTTTAATATTTGAGATCATAATTTAATTATATTTCCCCCTTTACTTTCCTCTCTCCAATCCTTCCCATGTTCCCCACTCTCTCTCAAATTCATGACCTCTCCTTTTTTGTCCTCTTCTTTATTATTATTGTATATATCCAGATATATTTAAATTATAATTTTAAATCATATCTAGTATATAATATCAGCAATTTTTTTTGTTTGTTCCAAGACAGGATTTCTCTGTATAGCCTTGGCTGTCCTGGAACTCACTCTGTAGACCAGGCTGGCCTCGAACTCAGAAATCCACCTGCCTCTGCCTCCCAAGTGCTGGGATTAAAGGCTTGTGCCACCACTGCCCAGCTCTAATATCAACAATTTAACACAGTATATGTATGTTAGCATATACACTGGTTTCTCCTTATCTCCCTTTTAAGAATTGTGCTAGATAGGTACCAGTATGGTTGACGTTTGAGATCAGTAACTTTTTTTTACAGGAATTATTAGCCAAGTGATTTGGACCTTCACTTTGGTGAAGCGTGCGCATGCGCACGCGCACGCGCGCGCGCGCACACACACACACACACACACACACACACACACACAAGATTCTGTCATGTAATGTTTTCCTGTTATACCTTGGTGCTTTCTAATCCTCTTTTAGAGTAGCTTAAGATTTTATCATTGGGAAGTTGCCACCAAGTGAGACTTCTTGAGTTCAACTCTTGGGATCTACATACTGAAGAAAGACTCTATGCCAATAGTTGTCCTCTGACTTCTAAATGCACGCTCTGAGAGATAGGCCCCCCACTCACACCCAGAATCAATAATTGTAACTTTTTTAAAAAAAAACTTTATTCTTTTTTTTTTTTTTTTTGGTTTTTCGAGACAGGGTTTCTCTGTGTAGCCCTGGCTGTCCTGGAACTCACTCTGTAGACCAGGCTAGCCTCGAACTCTCGAACTCAGAAATCTGCCTGCCTCTGCCTCCCAAGTGCTGGGATTAAAGGCGTGCGCCACCACCGCCCGGCAAAAAACTTTATTCTTAATAAAGAATAAAATAGTTTCTTTTACTGTATAAATTTTGATAAATGAGGACTTGTCCTTGGTAGGTTTACTTTATTTATTTATTTATTTTATTTATTTATTTTGGGTGTAGATACATGGTTATCTTTTCAGAGTGTTTTAGTAGTTTGCAAGCCTACTTATTGTATTTGCAATTTAGTAAATGCTAATGTCACATATTCTTCACGAACTGTTTTGAAGAATGAACCTTTTGCTTCCTTTTAGGTCTTTACATGGATGAGATGGCAACCACACAGATTTCCAAAGATGAACTTGATGAACTCAAAGAAGCCTTTGCAAAAGTTGGTGAGTGCGTTTTATACAGCAACCAGTGGAAAGGCATTTGGTCTTAAAGTGGTATTGCTCGAAATTACCATAAATCAGCCTTTGCCTGAGCAATATAGTGAGACTGACTCCAAAAATCAAACCAGAACTAGACGGATAAAGTTATAGTGAAAACTGTATTAATTCAGGCAGACATTGCTCAACAAGTTAATGGTACTTATCTGAACTCAATCCTGGGAACCCACTTAGGAGGGAACTAATTCCTACAGATTGTCCTGTGGCTTACAAACACATACACATACACTTACACGTACACATACACACACACACATGAAGACATAAAAGTCATCAATTTATTGCTATTTCTATATGAATACTGTATTTATATCATTTGCGGTCTCCCCTCTTTTCCCTCCAACTTCTTCCATGTCTGTGACACTCCCTCTGAAATTCATGAACTCATCATAAGTGTGTATGTATATATGAAGATCTGTGCATGTATGTATAAATTTTTAAATTTTAAAAATATTTTAATAGTATCTAGTATTTAATATGGTCAATCATTTTTAGCGCAGAGTCTGAGTCATTAAATCTGGGCTGCTGTGGCACTTGAAAATTTGATGACACATTGTGTTATTAGAATATTTTGCATATCATGTTTTTCTGAGGTGAGTGTTTGAAGTGAACTCTGAAACATTCAGATTTCACTGTTTTTGTGGTATTTGTTTGTTGAGAAGAGACTCATTCTGTGTCCAGGCTAGCTTTGAACTTACTATGTATACTGTTCATCTTTCTAACAAGCATCAAACAAAGAGGGGAAGAAAGGCATATCGTGATTACATTGTTTTCCCCTGGAACACAGTATTAAACCCAAAACCTCATATATGTCAGGCAAGTCCTCTACACTTTAGCTATCTCCAGGCATTAATATTTTGAGACGGTCTCGCTGAGCTGCTCTGGCTGATACAAACTTGTGATCCTTTCACCTAACCCAGGAATCGGAATTATAAATACATGCCAACACATGGCTTGCTTTTTTTGTTTATTTGGTTGTATACATAAATACTGGACCAACTATCTATCAATAAGTAACATTGCCATCTTTTCCTTTCACTTTTTATTTTGAAACAAGGTCTCCTACACTGCCCAGATTGACCTTGAACTGACTCCATAGCCTAGCCAGGTCTAGAATTTGCTTTCTATCCTTCTTCCTTGGCATCCCCAGTAGCTGGGGTTGCAAGCCTGCACCACTAGGCCCAGTTTTGTTTTGTTTTGAACCTTTTAACATCATATCACATGCCTTCCAATTCTGTGCCTATGGAAGCAATATATAGTGTTTACATTCTGTGCAAAGAACAAATCCGTAAGGTATACAGTGTAATGGAGTAAGAACTAACTGCTGTTAGGAATACTCACAAGAGAGAGCATGTGCTTAAGCGTTGGCTCCCAACCTGTGGTTATAAACACTTTGCAAAAAACTCTGTCTCCAAAAATATTTACATTACAATTCATAACAGTAGCTAAGTTACAGTTATGAAGTAGCAACGAAAATAATTTTATAGTTGCGGATCACCAAACATGAGGTACTCCATTAAAAGCAATTCTGCATTAGAAAGGTTAAAACCTAGACCAAAGGGAGTAAAGTTGGAGTATATTGTTTTTTTAAATCAGAATTACTCTGAAACTGATGCTAAAAGTCCAATTAATAGAAAATTTAGAAGGATAGCTATCTCTGGTCCCTTTTCATTCATTTATTCATTTTTGAGACAGTCTCTTTTAGACCGTTAGCCTCCAGATTCAGCCCAAGTAGCCCATGATTTCTTCAAACTTGTATTCCTCTTCCTCCACCTCTGTAGTTGAGACTAAAGACATTACCACCCGTTTTAGTGTTTTATTGCTGTGAAGAGACACCAGGACCTTAGCACCTCTTATTTTAAAAAAACAAAAAACACTGGATTGGCAGTTCAGAGGTTTAGTCCATTATTGTCATGTCAAGATAAATAGCATGCAGACAGACATTGTGCTGGAGATGCAGTTGAGAGTTCTACATCTTGACCTACAGGCACCAGAAGGAGACTGTGTACCATACTGAGCATACCTCGTGCATATAAAGACCTGGAAGCCTGCCCTCCAGCAAGATCACACCTACTCCGACAAGGCTATACCATTAATAGTGCCACTTCCTATGGGCCAAGGATTCAAACACGAGTCCAGGGGGCCCATTCCTATTCAAACCACCAGGCCTTTGTCCATGGTAGACAAATTCTCTACCAACTGAGCTACATCCCTACGTATGATCCTAATTTCTATAACAGCATTTATATTAATAGAAACAGCATACCCTGAAGAGAATAATAATCCCCCAGCTAGAGTGGCTATTCGTATCCTATCACAAGGCTAGGTAGAAAAGGTTAAGTTGTTCTGAATCATTTTATATGTGTATATTTTACAAAGCAGTATATTAACTTGCTGCACATATGACTCACTAGGAGAATGGAAGTACATAGGTAGGATTGATGGAAAAGAAAAAGAAAATGAACGCTTGGCAGTGGTGTTGCATGCCTTTAATCCCAGCACTTGGGAGGCAGAGGCAGGCAGATTTCTGAGTTCGAGGCCACCCTGGTCTACAGAGTGAGTTCCAGGACAGCCAGGGCTATACAGAGAAACCCTGTCTCGAAAAACCAAAAAAAAAAAAAAAAAAAAAAAAACAAAAAAAAAAGAAAAAAAAAGAATGAGTCCTTGGTCATAAGATGTGGTGTTATTTTTTATTAATATTTTCTCTTTTGTCAATATCCCTTTAGACCTGTTCTTACCATAATTGTTTTAGAAACATATTTTCTTTCACCCTTGTCTTTTGTTTACATTCGTCTTGCAGTGTTAGGAACAGCTTAGTTTCTTTATGTGTTAGAGTAGGGTCCGTGACTTACTAATGTTTCATTGCTTCATCACTATGCCTAGCTTCCTCAAAGAAGGCCTTGACCTAATGTATTGCCTCTTAGAAATATTTATGTTTACTGTTCCTTTTAAATTAACATTAAATGAGGTGTGACTTACTTCATGAGGCTTGGAGGACTTTTTATGATTTAGCAGCATAATTGCTTTGTTAACACATAATGATAGAGAATTGATCAATTTTTGCCATGGTGAGAAGAGGGTTAAATTATACTTAATAAGAGAGGGATCAATTAGAACAATGGTTCTTAGCCTTCCTCATGTTGCAACTCTTTAATAAAGTTCTTCATATCCTAGTGACACCCCAACCATAACAATATCTTGTTGCTACGTCATAAAAATCATTTTGCTACTGTTTTGGATCATAGTATAAATATATGATGTGCAGGATATCTGATATGCACCCTCTGTGAAAGAGTCGTTGGACACACTGAAGCACATAAAAGCAGGGGTGGGTTGTCTGTGTCAGTGAGTGTGTATGTGTCTGTGGGGGTGGGGTGTGGGAAATGCTGGTGCAGAGTCTATCTTTTAGAAACGATTGAAAAGCTCACCTGACTCTTTGGATATTCCTACAAACCTCTTTGTAGTTTTTACATGGCGTTGGATACAGAGCCCTCAGGCAGCTCTCAAAAGTGTTGTAGAACTAGTTTTTTTTTTTTTTTATTTAAGGATCCTTTATTTATTAAACAAAGCTCTAGAACTTATTTTCCTGGTGATGATGATTATTTTCTACTCTGTGTGGTAAGGGAGAGCAGAGACGACTACTTTGTCTCACTTCATCTGTGACAAAATATGGAAATTGTTTTCCTCATCTATTAACAATAGTAACCTTGATTGCTTAGAAATTCAGCAAAATCACAGTGGGCAGAGAAAATCTCTGTAATCACGACTAATTGCAGGTTTTGTTCAACCAATTAATAGTGCTGTGAAACTCTCTTTACCAGCAATAAATTGACTATTAGGATTTAAAGTTCTTTCACTAGCTTCTTGCACCTGCTTACTGTTCACTTGTAATTATATGCAATTATTTTAATTATACCATCAATTGGCTCAGGATTTCCCTCTGGGTTAATGGAAAGCATAGTGCTACCCTTACCCCAACACAAAACATTTCTGTTTTAATTTAAATGCTGATATCCTGCATGATTTCTTCCTAAAGAGAATAGAGCTTGGTGTGGGGCCTGCCAGGAATCCTTGCAGTCTATAATCTTTACACTAAGGTGGCTAAAGGAAGGTCTCAACAGTACAGGGCTAGCCAAGGCTAGATAGAGAAACCTTGACCTTATGTTTTTGAAACCAGAAGTGGTGGCACACATCTCTGACCCCACTACTTGGGTACATTTCTCAGTGATCAAGGCCAGCATGGTCTAGACCCTGTTTGAAAAAAACATAACCTGCATAGATGATAGATAGATAGATAGATAGATAGATAGATAGATAGATAGATAGATAGTTTTCTCCCCTTGGGCAGTGTCAGAACATGGCTTTAAGCCTAGCACTTGGAAGGCAGAAGCAGATGTATCTGTTTAAGGGTAGCCTGGTCTACCTAAGGAGTCTTAGGACAGCCAGGGGTACACATAGAGAAACCCTGTCTCGAAAACCTAATATATATATATATGTGTGTGTATGTATATATAATTTTGTTTTCATTTTATTTATTCATTTGCAAAGTGAATGTTTACCAGATACAGGATGTCTTTTATATTCTAAGACTTTAATTTTGTATTGTTACTTCCCTCAAATAATAATGAATTTTGGGTGACTTAAAATACTCTTCAGTTTGACTTTGGTCCTGCAACCACTTTCTTAAAAATAGGACTTTGGAGAGCTGGAAAGGTGACTCAGTGTTTATGGCTACTCTTGTAATAGATCTGGGTTCAATTCTCAGAACCCACATAGGAGACTCACAACCTTCTACAACTCTACGTCCAGATCAGATACCCTCTTTTGAACTCTGTGGACAGCTTCAATCACATGTGTACATACCCCCAACACACACATAATTACAACTGAGATATATCTATAAAAAATAGTAATAAGATACGACTCATTTATTTCTTCCCCAAAGC